TGTATAGTATATCACAGTTTATTTATTCATCAGTTGAAAGATTATGGCTACTTCTTAGTTTTTATGGCCTATTCTGCTATGAACACTGGTGCACAATTTTTTTTTGGGTGTAAGTTCTCATTTCTAGTAGTGTTATTGAGTATAGTCATGTGATAACTACATGTGTTTAATATTTTTAAGAACTGTCAGATTGTTTACTGTTGAGTTTTGAGAGTTCCTTATATAGTCTACATTCTACTTCCTTGTTGGGTGTGTGATTTGTGAATCTTTTCTCCCAGTTTGTAGTGTGTCTTTTCATCCTATTAGGATCTATACAAAGCAGAAATTCAAAAATTTGTATTACATCCACTGTGCAAATTGTCCCTTTTATGAATTATGCTTTTGGCATCTAGTCTAACCTTAGATTTCAAAGATTTTTCTTCTTCTTCTTTTTTTTTTTTTTTTTGTGAAACTTCCACAGTTTTATATTTGACATTTGAGTCCATGGTTCATTTTGAGTGGATTTTTTTTATAACATGTAAGCCTTATATTAAGGTTCATTATTGTTCCTGTGGTGACCAGTTAGTCTAGCCTCTGTTATTTAAGAGATTATCTTTCCTTCAGTGAAGTACTTTTGTATTTCTGTGCTTATTTCTAGATTTTTCTCTTTTGGTACATTAATCTACTTGTTTATTCCTCTGCCAAACCCATGTCATTTTAATAACTTTACATCTGGAAATGGGGTAAACTGATTTTTTTTTCCATTCTTTTTCAAAAGTATTTTATTCTGGTTCCTTTGTCTTTTCATATAATTTTAGGACCATCTTGTCCTTATTTACAAAGACATCTTACCAAGATTTTGGTAGGAATTGCCTTTAACCGATATATCATTTTGTGGAGAACTAACATCTTTACTATGTTGCATCTTCCAATTCATGAAAATGTTATTTCTCTGCATTTCATTGGTTTATGTCTTCTTTGATTACCTTCATCAGTGATTTTAGTTGTCAGTCTACAAGTCCTGTAGATTGTTTTAGACTTAAAACTAATTATTTCAGGGGAAGGAGAGAGATGAGAGGGAATTTTCTGACAGAATTGATTCCCACAACTATGGGGGCTGAAAAGTTCCACACGAAACCATCTGGAGGTAGAGAGCCAGAGAAGCCAGGGGCAGGACTCAGCCCATATCTGAACAAGTCTCAGAACAAGGGGTGCCGGTGGCATAACACCCAGCTGTCTGAGAACCCGTAGGGCTGCTGGTGCCAGTCGCAAAGTCAAAGGCCTGAGAACCCAGAATACTCATGTCCAAAGGCAGAAGAAAACAGTCCCGAGAGAGAGAACAAGTTTTTCTTTCCTCTGCCTTTTTGTTCTACATGAAGTTAGAGCTGATGGATGGCAGCACTGTTTTCCAGTACATTTTTCACCAACTCCCATTCCAGTCTCCTTTGGAATTCTCTCACACACACCAAAAATAAGCCATCACACAGGAGCAAATCACTTCATTCTTCCAAAATACATGTCTTACTTCCTTTTGTGTGATTGTTGCTTCTTGAATTGGTTAGAACTTCCAGTGCTTTTCTAAATAAGATTGGTAAGTGTGGACATCTTTGCTTCATTGCTGATCGTAGGGGGAAAGCGTTCAGACTTTGACCATTAAGTATAATATTACCTATAGTGTTTTAGAAGGTGCTGTTTATTGGGATGAAGAAATTCCCCTGTATTCCTATTTTCTTTGTTTTAAATTTATTTATTTATTTGAAAGGTAGAGTTACAGAGAGAGAGAGAGAGAGAAACAGAGAGAGAGAGAGACAGAGAGACTGAGAGAAAAGTCTTTCATCTACTGGTTTACTCCCCAAATGGCCGCAACAGCCGGAGTTGAGCTGATCTGAAGCCAGGAACTAGGAGCTTCTTCTGGGTTTCCCACGTGGGTGCAGGGGTCCAAATACTTGGGCCATCTTCTACTGCTTTCCCAGGCCATAGTAGAGAGCTAGATTGGAAGAGGAGCAGCTGGGAATTGAACCAGCGTGCATGTGGGATCAGGCACTTCAAGCGGAGGCTTTAGCCCACTACGCCACAACGCCGTCCCTTCCTATTTTCTTAGAGGTTGTTTTATGTTGTTTTCTCATGATGAATATGGAATTTTTCAAGTGATTAGTATCACCATGTGTGTATAATTCTTTTTATATATATTGCCGAATTCTATTTGTTTAAATCTCGTTAAGGATTTTTGACATTATATAGTCTGTAGCTTTCTAAGTTTTCTTCTTTCTTCCCAGGATTTTGTAACTCTTACTTTATTTTGGAAAGCATTGATCAAAGAACCAGTTTCAGCATATCTTGGTCTTCCAACCTTAAATACTTTGAAATGTACATGCTTGCTCCTTAATCTCAGTCCTTAAATGCTGAATGAGCCAGAGTTGAATACTTTACAGCACAGGAGATTTGAGGAGGGCTGCTGGTGTTTAATCAGCGTTCTGTGACTCCAGGATTTCTCATGGTTATCCTGTGATGTTCCGTGATACCTCCCATCCTACCCCCAGGAAGTCAGCTCCTGGAAGGACCTGGAGACAAAAGACAGTGGGAGTTTGAAATGAGAAGACAGACACCTCAATCCCGGTTCCTGGATTTATTACCTGTGCTATGTTGAGCACTTGTATAGCCCTTCAGATTAAATTAGGTAAATGCAGATGAATGTGTAAACTTGTTCCTACATGAATTACAGCTTTATGTTCATTGAATCCCTTAATTTTATGGAAAAGAAAAGCAGTAATAATAATGATTATTACTAGCATACTTTTTTTTATATCTTTGTTTCTCTGATCTTTTAAAAAATAATTTTATTTTATCTGAGAAGTAGGCGGAAAGACAGACAGAGACCTCCTTTCTCTCTTCCAAGTACTAACCAGGCCCGACACTGCTTAGCTGCTGAGATCATACAAGATGGGGCACGTTCAGAGTGGTATGGCTGTAGATGAGACCTCCCTTCTTCCAATTCATTCCCCAGATATCTCCAACAGCTGGGCCTGGGTCAGGCAGATGACTGGGTCTGGGAAATCAATCCAGGTCTCCAGTGTGGTGGCAGGGACCCACATATTTGAGCCATCTCCTGCTGCTTCCCAGGTTGTGCATTAAGGGGAAGCTGGAATTAGTAGTGGAATGTGTGACTTAGACCCAGTGACTCTGATAAGGGTTGGAGCATCCCAAGAGGTATCTTGCCTGCTTCACCAAACACCTGCCTCCTCGGATCAGTTCAAATATTATTAAATGTTAAGGAATGAGACTGAGAGATTTCAAAGATTTATATTTTGATTTGATGACATGAAATAATGATCTTTAGGGTGGCATTGTGGCAGAGCAGGTTAACTGCTGCCTGTGATACTGGCATTCCATATGGGCCCTAGGTTAATCATGATGCTCCACTTCCCGTCCAGTTCCCTGCCAATGTGTGCCTGGGAAAGCAGTGGAAGATGACCCAAGTGTTTGAGCCCCTGCCACCCACGTGGGAGACCTAGATGGAGTTCTTGACTCCTTCCTTCAGCCAGGCCCAGCACTGGCTGTTTGGGTCATTTAAGTAGTTAACTAGTGGATGGAAGATTCTTTTTCTTTCTCTCTCTGTTACTCTGCTTTTCAAATAAAACAAATCTTTAAAAACAAAAAATAAATAGTGATCTTTGAGTTTGTATTTGATATCTATTTAGGAATTGAAATTTATCTTCTTATCTACTTTTTGTGAGTATTTTACTAAAATTTATCTTTAATTAATACTATTTTTCTAGTAAATCACCTCTTCTCTGTTGTATTTTATCTTTTTTAATCCATAAATAAAATATTTCTGTAAAGTTCTACCTTTGTTATTTTCCATTCATCAGGGATCATACTCATTTTTTTAAGTAACTCTGAGTGATTATGCTAAATGGTGTGTTGTGTTCTCTAAATTTAAGTCATTAGAACTTGGAAGTACCTTCTGGTAAGTCCATGTCTGGATCATTCACAATGGCTAGAATTGTTCCGTTGTTGATGCCTTTTGTGAACCAGGAGTAGGAAGATTGAATTTCAAGTAGAAATATTTAGGTTAAAACATGTTGGAAGAAAATAAATCCGTGAATAATTCTAATTTTGATACTTTAAAATATTTGATGGATCCTTTATAGGCAATTACTAAAGTAATTATTAAGATTGTTTGTTTAGAGGCTCAACTCCTAAAGGAATTTCTAATGGTGAGGTTTTTGTCTACCACGATTAAGCAATCCTGTTGATAACCATATCAAAATTATTGATACATCCTGCTATCCATTGCCAAATTAGAAATAATGTGGTAGATGCAAATTGACAACAAAATAGATCAAAGATGGAAAGATAGATGAGCAAGGAAAAGCCATTTGTATGAACTGACAAGTTCTCAGGTGATTTACAGAGAGGATGCTTTTGGTGCCCCCGATCCATTTTGCCTGCTTGCTTCTGTCAGGTTGTTTCAGTGTGATGATTATCTCACCTCATATCTAATTCTTTCATATAGGGAGATGTATTCTCTTTGAGCATCGCATTTCAGATCTCGTTCTTAGAGCTAGGACACAAATCCATGTTTTGTCAATATCCTTTCTCCCAACCCCCAAGTTGCAAACAAACTATTAAAAAGAAGTAGACTTTTAAAATAGTCATTCAATTCCTAGGTCTCCCCACTTTTTAGCACATTATGTCTAAATTAACTAAAGTAACTAGCAAAAATATCAAAAGGAATCAGTAAAAATTAATTTATGTAAGCATCCTGTTTCTGTTTTTCCCATATCTAGGTTAAAAGCAAATAAAGTGTATACTCCTGTGTATTTATACATACAAATAAGTAAAGCACATGTGAGTGTTTTGTTCAGTGATTTGTGTCTCTTCCTAATTGGGCTAAAGGTATTGTGTTTATTTACATATTATATTCACAACCAGCAAGTAAGCTAAAAAGCTTTAAACATCTTGGTGCACCTTTCTTTTCATGATTCTAATCAAAGCCTTGTGATTCCTGCTTGTCATAGCTGGGGTCACAGCAGAAGCCATGCAGACTATCTCCACTGCTCCCGATGCCTCAGGCCCTGAAGCCAAAGTCCAGGAGGAAGAGCATGACCTTGTGGATGATGACATCACCACGGGTAAGCGTGAAAATCTTTACCATAATCTGAATGGGGCTTTGTTTAATATCGCAGAATGTTTTTGGGTCAGTTATAGTGGGACTAAGAATTCTGCTGGAAAGGATGGAAACTTGTGTTGATGGTGTATTCAGTTTTACGGGGATCTTTAATGTTCTGTTTGATCTTGAGGGAAAAAGAAATGGGAATGTTTGTTTGGTTCCGGTTTGCTCATTGTCATTGTCACAGTGAACCTGCTAGCTGTACACTTCATATCCTGGAGATCTGTAGTTCAGAAGCTGGCATCATCACTGATGCTTTGGAACGTGTCCGTAAGATTAGCAAAGGTTTTTCAGCTCTAAGTAAACTAGAGAATACTGAAGCTGTAATAGCACTATATACACTATAGACTGCTAAGGAAACTGATACTGTTTATACTTACATACAGAAATGAGTGCTGTCTTTTAAAAATTATTTGTTTGGATTTACTTATGCATTTATTTAGAGAGCAGATTTCATGTGTTTCATATATACAATTTTAGGCACATAAAGATACTTTTCCATGCTTCATTTCTCCCTCCTCTCTGGTAATTTTTTGTTGTTGTTGTTTTAATTTTTGTGATAACATGCTTTCATTTTACTTTATAATTATCTGCATTTTCTGTCACATAACAAGGCATAAAGTATTTTTAGGGGACCCACTTATGATAAATATTTAGCTTAGCTCTTTTATTGACTCAAGTTTTAATTACTGGACATTCAGATTAATTTAGCTTAATTTCTTTGAATGCACAGAGGAACAAACAGCCTAATATCAATATTTGTAGGGCTATTAAGAATGCTAAAAGTTTGCTTTTAATGCAGAGTTAAAATTTAAAATCTGTCTATAAAATCTGTTACTATAAACCAATACATATTCATTTTAATAGTAATCAATACTTTAAAAAGAAGCATGCCCAGAAAAATTAGTAAAATTGTCAGCTAAAATTACTGAAAGAAAAATAATGTAAAGGAAATGTTTTCTTATTTTTATTTATTTTCATTTTATTTGAATGGCAGGTAGGCGGAGAGACAGACAGAGATTTTCCATCAGCTGCTTCACTCCCCAAATACCTGCAACAGCCAGGACAGGGCCAGTGCAAACCTAGGAGTTAGGAACTCAGTTCAGGTCTCCCTTGTGGGTGGCAGAGACCAAAGTATTTGAGTTATCAGCTGCTGCCTCCCAGCTGTAGGAAGCAGAAGAGCTGGCAGTTGAACCAGGCAGTCTTATGAGGTGCAGATGCCCTAGACAGCAACCACTCACCCCATTTTTTTTCTTTTAAACCTGTGTGGCAGGTTTTCTACTTTCACCCCATACCATTTTTTTTTTTTTCAGTAGGAAAAAGTTGAAGGAATCTAATGATCTCTCTTGAACATTTTTTTTTTAAGATTTATTTTATTTATTTGAAAGAGTTAGAGGGAGAAGGAGAGAGAGAGAGAGAGATCTTACATCCACTGGTTTGCTTCCCAAATGTCTGCAACTGCCAGGGCTGGGCCAGGTCAAAGCCAGGAACCAGGAGCTTCTTCTGGGTCTCACACATGGATGCACAGGCCCAAGCTCTTCCACTGCTTTCCCAGGCACATTAGCAAGGAGCTGGATTGAAAGTGGAGCAGTCAGGACCTGAACTGGCACCCATATGGGATCAGCATTGCAGGTGGTAGCTTTACCCACTGTGCAACAATGCCAGCCTCTCCCTTGAATATTTTCAAAGTCTGAATTTTTTTTTTTGGTGTTTTTTGTTTTGTTTTGTTTTTGTTTTTTTAAATAACTGTCAAGGGTAGATGTCTAGTCCAATCATATGACACCTGCTTCTCACATTGTAGTATCTGAATTTGATACCCAATTTTGGCTCCTAATGCCAGCTTCCTACTAATGCAGTCCCTTGAAAGCAGTGTGTGAAAGCTTAAGTAATTGGGTTCCTGCTAACTGGGAGCCTGCACTGAGTTCCTGGCCCCCAGCTTTGACCCAGCTGGCCATTGTTGGCTTTTGAGGGGTGAACCAGAAGATGTGAGCTCTCCACTTGGACCTACCCCTAATGGTAGAGCTAGAAATGTGCCATGGGACTCCAATTCCTATTAAGTTGGCATGTATCAATCCCATCTTACTAGTTAAAGTGATCAGTTTAAGTTCATAATTGATCATAAAGATAGGATTAAGTGTCAAAGGGATCACATAAATAAGACCAGTGTCTGCAAATAATAATTGATAGAATTAAAAAGGAGAGAACCATCCAACATGGGAAGCAGGATACACAGCAGACTCATAGAATGGCAAATTCCCTAAAAGCACTCTGGCCTCAGAATCAGCCCTTAAGGCATTCAGATCTGGCTAAAAAGCCCTTGAGAGTTTCTCAGGCATGGAAAGCCAAGATACTGTGGCAAAAGAAAATGACCTAAATGAAAGATCTCTGTGAGATCCCAGAAGAAAGAATGAGCCATCAAAGAAGGAGGTACCTTTCTCTGAAGGGAGGAGAGAACTTCCACTTTGACGATGGCCTTGTCTAAATAAGTTCAGAGTTGGTGAACTTAAGAGGCTTCTGTAGCCTTGGCAGCTCATGACAAGAGCCTCGGGTGATTACTGACGTCATAAATAAGAATGTCAATTGTTAAATCAACAACGGTAGTCACTGTGCACCTGCTCCCCATGTAGGATCTCTGTCCTTAATGTGTTGTACTATGCGAATTAACAGTAAAAACTAATCTTCAAACAATACTTTATACTTCGTGTGTCTGTGTGGGTACAATCTGTTGAAATCTTTACTTATTACATACTAAGTTGAGCTTCTGTAAAGATAATTAAACATGAATCTTAATGAAGAATGGGATGGGAGAGGGAGTGGGAGATGTGATGGTTTGCAGGTGGGAGGGTGGTTTTGGGGGAAACAACCACTATAATCCTGAAGGTGTACTTTCGGAATTTATATTTATTAAATAAAAGTTTTCTAAAAAAATTAAACATTTGTAAGAAAACCTTTTAAAAAAAAATGTGAGCTCTCTTCTTCTTTCTTTCTTTATCTCTGTCATTCTGTCTATCTCTATGTATCTCAAGTAAATAAAATTTTGAGAAGAACCTAAAATGGGCAAGACTTGTGGCACAGTGAGTTAAGCTGCCACCTAGAATGCACTCATCCCATGTTGGATTACCTGGTTAAAGTCAAGGGTACCTTGCTTATGACCCAGCTTCCTGATAATGCACACCCCATGGTGTAGCAGGTAATGGATGAAGTGGTTAAGTCTCTGCCACTCATGTGGAAAACCCAGATGGAGTTCTGGTTTTCTGCCTTTGGTGTGGCCCAGCCATGACTATTGTGGGCATCTGGGGAATGAAATAGCAGGTGGAAGATCTCTCTCTCTGTGTTGTTTGCCTTTCAAAATAAACTTAAAAAATTGAAAAAACAAAAAATATGCTACATGGTTCCACTGCTGCAAATAAGTATTGACAAAGGGAGCATCTTGCATCTTGTTTTGATGAAAGGTTTTGTGATGATGGTGGTTACTTATTTCTTTAAATCCTTTTTAAATCAGTTCATTGATGAAAAATAACCTAATTTAAATGTATTTGATTTCCAGAACTTTCAACTTTTCCAAAATTGGTAGCTACTAAAAGAAATATATTTGGTTTGAAGACATTTTTATTATTTATTTTTATTTTATTTGAAAGGTAGAGAATGAGAGGGAGAGGGAGTGAGGGAAGAGAGGTCTTTCATCTACTGATTCATGCCCCCCAAATGGCTGTAACAGCCAGAGCTGGGCCAGGTTGAAGCCAGAAACCTGGAACTCATGAAATATGAATTATGTGATACCAAACTCATGAGTTAGCATTGTAACCTATGGCTTTATATTTTATTGCCAACAAAAATCAAGAAGCTTAAACATGCAAGTCTATTTTGAAGAGTCAATTAATGCTACTTGTACTGTGTATTTTATTCTATGAGAAGTTTAGTTTAATATATGTGACAAATAGTTTCATCAATTGATTTATTCATTTCATAGCATGAGTGCTAGATGCAAGAATGTTCAATATCCAAAGAATTTAAATAACTACACAATGCTTCCTTAACACATTGTAAAAGCAAGTAGCATGTGGTAGTCTGTATCTCATACGGGCTACCTTTAGATGCTGTTACTTGATTAAGCTGTGATATAGATTTTTGTGAAGGTTTAGAAGAAAACCATATTTCTTTCTATTGACTAGAATCCTATATAAATTGCATTATGAAAAATATGGTAGATGCATTGCTAGAAACCTGTTTCAAGCGCAATATTCTTATTTTGAGCTAACCAGCATTGTAGAACCCCCTTACTACAAAGGGAAAACTTACCAGGCTAGCCATCTACTTTGAAATATCTGCCTAATATTGTTGATTTATTTAAAAGAAATTATTGTGATAACATCTCTTCCTAAAATAACTACAAATTATATCATAGCAGGCAGTTGCCTGTATTTTGAGTGATTTTTTCTTTGTAAGCTATAGTTAGGGGTATGTGTATATAGTTGCATTAGTTTCATTTTTGTCATAAGCTGGGGCTTGATTCTTAGAAACAATCTGATCAGGATAATAATTAAAACATAAGGTGTCATTTAATGGTTTTACTAAAGGCAAAATAATTGTTTCAAATTATTTTCTTTTGAGTGAGGATGAATGAGGCATTTTAAATGTTATCTTTGATATTTGAATCCACACCTAGCAGTCTTTTTTAGTGTGTTCCTTATAAAAGTAAAGAAGCATGGATAAAGCCATGTAAGTGTGAGTTTTGATCAATTGGAACTAATTAAATTTGTTTGAAATGAAGAGTCTTAACTGGAAAAGAACAGCTGGAAAAACTGGGAGGAAAAATTGGGTCTTGATTGTGACAATTTAAACCTTCACCCTGTCATTTAAAAACTATGCTGCAGCTTCTTTCTTTCTCTTTCTTTTTAAAGCTAATATCTATTGATCGGTGCTACAAAGTAATGCCAGTGTGCGTTGGTCAACATACACATT